AAGATTTATGAACTCAGAACCTCTGGAAGAACAGTCAGTGCTCTTAACCCCTGAGCCATCTACGATCCATTTTAAAGTCTCATTTTATTTCTATTTTATGTATGGGTGTTTTGCCTAGATGCATGTCTTGTTTATCAGATAAGTGCCTAGTTCCTGCAGAGGCCAGAAGAGTAGGCTAGATTCCTAGAACTGGAGTTAAAATGCGGCTCTAGGAATTAAACCCCAGTCCTCTTAAGAGAAAGCCAGTGCTCTTAACTCAGGTATCTTCCCCTGTTCCCCTCCTCTTTCTTGAGACAGACTCACTACGCAGCCCTTACTGGCTGACTTTAAATTTCCAGAGATTTACCTGCCTCTGCCTCCCTAGTGCTAGCATTAAAGGCACTTGCCACTATACCTAGCTGTAAAATCTTTTAAACTATTACCTTAGAAGTCTAGTTACATGAGCATTATTATGATTATACTATATTTAATACCCCATATATCCATGTGAATATATACATATGAGTGCTCCATATGCTATGTGTCTTGTAACAGCTGGGGGTGGTGGCACATACCTTTAATCCTAGCACTTGGGAGGCAGGTAGATCTTTATGAGTTTGAGACCAGCCTGCTCCACACAGTGAGTTCCTGGATAGCCAAGACTACATAGAAAGACTCTGCCTCAAACAAATAAACAAACAAGTAAAACCAAACTCAATATATGCAACATAAGTAGTGTTTTCTTTTATATAATATGGACTGTATATGGATGCCTACATATGAAATAAAAGATGTAATTTTTGTGATTGCTGCTGCATTTTTTAAGTACAATTCAGACGGGGGAAACCTAACCATTTGGGAAGCCTTTCCATTTAAAGCCAAGTTTGTCAATCCAAATTTATACACTGGAACAAAGAGAACATCTTCAACAAATGGTGCTGGCATAACTGGATGCAGACATGTAGAAGACTACAGATAGACCCAAACCTATTGCCATGCACAAAACTTAAGTCAAAATGGATCAAAGACCTCAACATAAACCCAGCCACACTAACCCTATTAGAAGACAAAGTGGGAAATAAACTTGAATTAATTGGTACAGGAGACAGCTTCCTAAACATTACACCAGTAGCACAGACACTGAGAGCAACAATTGATAAATGGGACCTCCTGAAATTGAGAAGCTTCTGTAAGGCAAAGGACACAGTCAGCAAGACAAAACGGCAGCCCACAGACTGGGAAAAGATATTCACCAACCCCACATCTGACAGAGGGCTGATAACCAAAATATACAAAGAACTCAAGAAGCTAGTCTCCAAAACACCAAACAATCCAATTAAAAAGTGGGGTACAGAACTAAATAGACAATTCTCAATAGAGGAATCTAAAATGGCTGAAAGACACATAAGAAAGTGTTCAACATCCTTAGCCATCAGGGAAATACAAATCAAAACAACTCTGAGAAACCATCTTACTCCTGTCAGAATGGCCAAAATCAAAAACAATGACAATTTATGCTGGAGAGGATGTGGAGAAAGGGGCAACACTTCTCCACTGCTGGTGGGAGTGCCAACTTATACAGCCACTTTGGAAATCAGTATGGAGATTCCTCAAGAAAATGGGAATCAGTCTATCACAAGATCCAGCAAGTCCACTCTAGGCATATACCCAAAAGAAGTACATTCATACAACAAAGACATCTGTT